ATCTTCGGAACACAAATTAAGATATTTCTGATGAAATCCGAGAGCAGCAACACAACTGAAACGTTAACAGCAACACAACTGAAACGTTCAAGGCCCAGAAAGGTAGTAAGGACATCGATAAAACCGAACAGCGGTTCAACCGTAATTTTACAAAGCTACGAGAATACTTTTTGTGCACAAAGAAAAGAAAAATAACGACTTTATTCAACAATTCATCTCCTCCGCGTCAGATTTGAGGCATGTGTGCATTCCTCTGGAAACAAGGCACGGCGCATGCGTCATGATACACTGAAGAAAATATAACTGGTGTTTGCTACAGTGACCCCTTGATATAATTCAGGTAGCTAGCTATAAACATTCTGACAGTTTGACCAACTTTAACTTGCTCTGCAAAGTTTTCTCAAAACTGTTGCTCGATCATCACAGCAGCAAAGCGGATGTCATAAATGTCTGGGAAGATTTTAAAGGGGTCATGACATGGATTTTTTTATTTTTTATTTTTATTTTAATGTTCCTTGAGGTTAACTTTAATGCAAATAAAGTTTTCTGCACACAAAACTAAATAAATATGTGGAAAAGTGATTATTTTCAACCCTCATTCTGACCCTCTCTCTAAAATGACCTGTTTTTATGGGGCGGCTCCTTTAAGGCTTCTCAGGAATCAGCCGCTGTTATGATTGGCTAACGTCATTAAATAGGAAACAGTATCAATGCCCCCATCGCTATTGCATGTGAGTGTTTTGACAACATGATCAAAATAAGTCTTTTCCAGACAAAGCATTATGAAATCATTAACTTACGATTTGTGATGAAGCTGCAGTCCGATCTAGAACCGCTTCATCTTTCAATAAATGTTTCTTAGACTCTCCATGACACTGTGCCTCGTTTACAAAACAAAATCCTCCAACACGATCCGGGACGCCATTAAAAATAAACTATCCACTCCTTCCTTACGCTGGGAGCCTTCTGATATCTGTACAAAGATGCAAACAAGCTCTTTAAACCAAACGCGTCAACACTTTTTCACTCCATTTGTTCTTTTGACGACAGACTCAAATCTGTATCCAGTGTAGACAAGATAGTGGTAGCGATAGCAGTTTCTATTTGCTTTTGACGCAACACCTCACATTTAGCAAGTGAATGCCAGTGGGCGGGGCCTATGGTGAGATGATGACTATTCTTCGAAGTCTTGCTCTGGAGGCGTGTTTATGCAAATGTGTGTGCCCTTGTGATGTCACCTTGTACCTCATATCCAAAACAAGCCATTTTTGGAGCTTAATTAAATAAATGCTTCGTTTATAACGAGCAGGACGTTTTAAGCTATGAAACTTGCAGGATGTTTTAATGGTACGAAGAGCTCTTACATGCCAAAAGAGCAAGGCAAATTTGATTTCTCATGTCATGACCCCTTTAAAACGGGCGGTTCATTCATAAATTCGTAAAATACACAAGGAGAGCAAACTGAAAAAGGGAGGAGCTACATAAGGTCTATTACGCTAATGCCTCTATAGCGCCCCTTGTGGCGACACTGAGAATGAACGCTGCGCTGAAAGTGTTGTACATTGTAACAGACCACAAGCAGACTTCACACACTGTGAATAATTGAGCGACGCAGCAGATGACACTTGGAGAACGCAAACACTCCCACCAACAGCAAGCGTTTGACCTCAGACCACTTTAATCTAATTGTGGAATGAGACACTCATCATCAATTCTGCATGAGTGTTTCTGTTAAGGATCTGGTTAAGCATCACTCGGGATGGACTAGATGATGGGCGATGAGGGATCTGAAATGTATGCATTATTAACAAATAAAGAAGAAAAATAAATAATAGGGCAGAACAAAGTGGAGAGTTCTGAAGCTCAATGGGACGGACTGCATTTTTTCTTCTCTCTCTCTCTTTCTCCAGCTGTCAGCTTGCACGCTGTCTCGTTGGGGGGGGGGGGGGGGGGGGGTTGCCACGGTGACAGGAGGCCACATGTCTTAAGGGCCTCAATTTGGTCAAAGGACCCCATTGTTCTGGTGCTAAGCTGCCTTCACTGGGTCTGCAGGATGGAGGAGAAGGGTTTCCCTCCTTCACACGCCACAGAAAACACACTTCGCACAATCATTTTAACTCCAAAAGCAGCACACGCAAACAGAGCAACACCATGAGTGTTAACCTACAGGGTCAAAATGAGTATATAATAATGCATTAGTTGTCTAATCACAATCGATTAATTGATTTATGGGATAGTTCACCCAAAAATGAAATTTCTTTTTTCTCACCCTCAAGCTGTTTCAAAACTATATGACTTACTTTCTTCTGTGGAACATAAAGATATTTTTAAGAACGTTGGCAACCAAACAGTTGCTGGTAGCCGTTGGCGTCAATACTATAGGGAAAAATACTATGGAAGTCAATGGCTACTAACAGTTTGGTTACCCACATTCTTCAAAACATCTTCTTTTCTGCTCTACAGAAGAAACTCATACAGGTTTGGAACAACTTGAGGCAAGTAATAAACCAAACTCATAAAGTGAATCTCGTTATTCTCAACTTGGGGAAAAATAATATTCAGTCATCAAAACACGCATCCTTTTGTTTTTTGTCAAGTAGACGAATACAATGAAGTGTGAAAGGCATGTATGAGCATGTGAAGGCCTAACTGATTACTTTCACTAGATGGCAGTGTTATTTCTATAATAAAACTAAAGAAAACAGTCTAGCATGAAATGCCATTTTAGGCCCTTCCAACTAAATACCAATAAAAAAGCAAATCTTAAGCTGCATTGGGAGAAGAACCCAATGGTCATAAGCCACTGATCAGGTACAGCACAGGTGTAAGTCTGTTGAAATAATGCCTCTGGATCTCTGAAATTGGAGCCTGACTACAAGACATAAATATTTAAACGCTGTTGCAGTGCTATTTCTCCCATGGATACACCACAGCAGCACTGCTGAGGATTGATTCACATAAAACATAATGTGTGTGCTAGTAAACAAACACAGCTGAATGGAGACTGGTGCAGATGGCTGGAGTAATTATTTCCAGGTTATTTATACGTATTGACAGTTTTGTGGGACACTGAAGTCGTAGAGTAAATATAATTGTAAATAAATAGTGCTTTTGAACTCCTATTGTGCTCCATTCAGTCTTTGAATTTTCCATTAGCTCTTTTGCAGCACGAACTGCGATTACAGGTGCAATGCACAACTGTGAAGAGTGGCAGATTAAAGTACTGAGAGAACTTCACTTGCATTTCACAATGTTTTATGGGTGTTGCTCCGATTCCAAAACGAGAGTAACGACTGACTGCAATTACACAAGAGTATGTGATTCCTAAATAAGCTTTCCATCGATGCATGGTTTGTTATCTATGTACATATATATATATATATATATACTGTAGATTACATTTCATTACATAAAGTTAATTTAAAAAAATGCTATTTACTGTAAAAAGCTGAGTGTGTGTGTGTATATATGTTAAATTTTATATAGCAATTCATAATTCGTAAAAATATTTTCTTCATAAATGACTAAAGAAATTAGATATTTAAATTAGATAAACAGCTGTGAAACGTTCATACATGAAATTAGCAATTATTCTGTACTGCAAAAGCGGTTTTGTTTTTATGCATTAATTACTATTACAGTACATTCGTAATGAGGATAATGAGAATAAAACATTGACAATCAAACAGTTTGACTAGATGCATTATGATAAGACAATGTGCAACACGAACATACACTAAAAAAAACCTTTTCTATGCAAAATATATTTTTTCTCTTGATGGGTTCAACTATGATAATCATCCATGTAATATTTAAAGCAGGCCCTATAATTTATTGCCTAAGCGCTGTGAATGACAAACAATGGTTGAATGCAAAGAAATAAAATGCAATGGTTTGGAGGCATTGCAAATACAGTGGGTACGGAAAGTATTCAGACCCCCTTAAATAACTGCAAAGTAGGCAAATTTAAAATAATAAAACAAACACCACCGTCCAAGCAAACTGGGATTGCCATTTATGTAAAAGAATATGAGATCACCACAGGAACATCATCTTCAAACAGCAATGCATTCACCCAAGAGAAGATTTAATGAGCAGAAGTAATCTAACAATAATACAATCTTCTTTCATCCATGGACACTAAAATTCTATAAAAAAAAAACAACAACAAAAGAAATTTAAAACATTACACCAGAGAACAGAGCAGTATTTTATCCTAAGCTCATTTGAGAGTAATTAAACGGCTAACTGACACACAAATGATTGAGGTGAGTTTGGTGCTGGTTCCTCAGAGGCCTGAGAGAGAAGAGGCTCAGAAACTCCGCTGAGTCTTCCCCGCGTCTTCCTCCGGCTCGCTTTACTCGGCTCCGGAGAAGTGTGATCCACCCAGGCCAGGCCCACAGCCTTGAAGGTCCACGCTCCTCCGGTTCCTCAGGCTGCGTCGCACAGAACCCCGACTCTTCGCCACAGGTTTCAGGATGTCGTCGATGTTGAAGTCCGCCTGCTGCCAGGGGGCCAGACTAGGCTCAGGGGGTCCAGTGTTGCTCTCATCAGTAACTCGCTCTGACTGACCACTCTCAACTAGCTTTCCACGAGGGCTTTCCAGCGCCTTTTGGACCAGTCCATGTTTTTTATTCTTTCGCATCTTCTGCTCCAAGCTCTCAATGTTCATGGAGTCTCCATTTGGTAGCACGCAGCTTATTACAGCCTCAGCTTCTTGGTTCTCGGAGCACTCGGTTTCATGATGCACTGGACTGTCTCGGTACATTAAGGTACATCCAGGTGGCTTTTGGTTCTCAGTATCTTGTTCCCCAGTTTCACCGCTAATAGCTAGACTGCCAAGCTCCTTTCTTTTGTCTGTGCATGAGCTACGACGTTTGCGCACGGGCCTCCCTGATTCACGTTTGGCTTTGGAAGCCTTTGACGCCGAGTTTCGTCTTTCTGCAGGATCCTGAGCTCCAACTGAGGCTTCCACACAAGCCATGCCCACAATGGAGCTCAACATCTGCTCGTTTTCATTGGTCTGTGTACAGGTAGTATCCAGACTTACTGTGGGACGAATCTTGCTTTGGGGAACACTGGGAGTCCCATCTGCGTTGGTAGAGTAAAACCTTTACATTAAATGTTCAAAACACCAGCATAATGTAGTTCTGTGCTACCAACTCTAGATTGTAAAATGCATCCAGAACCTCGTTTATTTTAGCCTCGTGTCATTCTAAATTCATATGACCTGTTCTTCCATGCAGCACAAATGGAGATATTTTGAAAGATACTTTTTCCATACAATGAAAGCATATAACACTGCTTTTTGAAGCTTCTAAAAGGACATAAAATGCAATGAAACACTGTAAAACGAATCAGTGCAACTTGTGTGCTAGATTCCAAAACTAATGCCTCACGATAGCTTTGTAGGAGGAACGGTCAGAAATTTAACATTATTTGCTCAAAGCATTCCTATATATACACAACACTGCTCAAAAGGTTGGGGTCAAGGAGATTGTCATTTTGAAAGAAGCTCACCAAAGCAGCATTTCTTTGATGAAAAAGACATATGTGACCCTGGAGTCTTAAGTCGCTGGGGGATATTTGTAGCAATAGCCAACAATACATTGTATGGGTCAAAATTATAAATTTTTCTTTTATGCCAAAAATCATTAGGATATTAAGTAAAGATCATGTTCCATGAAGATATTTTGTAAATGGCCTACGGTAAATATATCAAAACTTAATGTTTGATTAGTAATATGCATAGCTAAGAACTTCATTTGGACAACTTTAAAGATGATTTTCTCAATATTTAGATTTTTTTGCACTCTCAGATTCCAGATTTTCAGATATTGTCCTCCTATCCTAACAAACCATACATCAATGGAGAGCTTATTTATTCAGATGATGACGATGTATAAATCTCAATTTGAAAAATTGACACTTAAGACACTTAAGTTTTGTGGTCCAGAGTCACATTTATTCCTGTGATGGCAAAGCTAAACTTTTATTACTTTAGTCTTCAGTGACACACGATTCTTTAGAAATCATTTGAATATGCTGATTTTTCTTATTATTATCAGTGCTGAAAATTACAAAAGGGTTGAAAATATTTTTGGTGAAAACTGATTATTAGAAAGTTTAATGAACAGCATTTAAAAAATAAAAAATATTTTGAAACCTTATTCAACAAGGATGCATTCAATTGATCAAAAGTGACAGTACAGTCATTTACATTGTTATTAGTTTCTGTAAAAAAAATAATAATCTTACTGGCCCTAAACTTTTGTAAGGTAGTGACATATTGCGATTGATGAAGTGACTAAAAAAGCTAAATGTCTAAATATAGAGCAAAGGAGACAATCAATTTTTTTAGCAAATAATGCCTTGGAATATAGCATAATACTTTAACAGTGCCACAATATTCTTTCATTCTATAGCAAAAATCAGTCAGAAACTGCTACAAATATCAAGTTTTCACAGAAAGAGTCATACCAAAGACATGGTCTTTTACCACTACATCCAAATCATCTCATTTACATTCATCAGCCCAAAAATACTTTATAACGAATGGTGTTCAACATTTACGCTGTAAGCTAAATTTGAGCTTCAACTTTAACGTTTTGGCGGCCCATGGTTGTTTTATAAGACAACTTTATACAAATTAAAAAAAACACCAATAAAAAGCCATGAATGGACAAGGGTACCTATTTGTTTTCCTGATTGAGGCGTGCTGTTGAGACTGGTAGACATCATCTCAAATATAGGGCTGAGAAGAGGGTTTTTTGAGGCATAGTCTCTTTTCCCATACAGAGAACGATTCACCTCCTTATTACCAAATCGTCTTTGCACTCCAGACATCTTCTGGAAGCAAGAAAACAAGCTGCAGCAAGGAACATTGACAGAGTTCACACAAATGTACTCAAAGGCTCAAGACACATGAAATCACGCATCATGCTATTTATAAACCAAACGCAAAGTCCAAGTCACATTAGTGTTCTTATTTCAGGCTCGGAGTCAGTTTGATGCCAGCGTTAATAATCGGAGCTTAAAAAGCCCCGTTCACCAGAACTCATCACATGTCAGCTTGACTTCTAAAAGTATAAAGTATAAATCCACTTCTTAAGCTTCACACCTTCATCTTTCCTGAAGCAGAAGCTGCCGCCGTACGCGAGCTTCTCCTCTTCTCAGGCTCATTCTCCCCTGGTTGCTGAAACAGAAGAACAGAACAGAGCCGGATGATTGAAACTATATCTTTGTCAGCCTTTTGATGCTATTCAATACACTGAAATCTGGGATTTCTAATCACTCACTCACTCTCTCACACACACACACACTCTCTCACACACACTCACACACACACACTCTCTCTCTCACACACTCTCTCACACACACACACACTCTCTCACACACACTCACACACACACACTCTCTCTCTCACACACTCTCTCACACACACACACACTCTCTCACACACACTCACACACACACACTCTCTCTCTCACACACTCTCTCACACACACACACACTCTCTCACACACACTCACACACACACACTCTCTCTCTCACACACTCTCTCACACACACACACACTCTCTCACACACACTCACACACACACACTCTCTCTCTCACACACTCTCTCACACACACACACACTCTCTCACACACACTCACACACACACACTCTCTCTCTCACACACTCTCTCACACACACACACACTCTCTCACACACACTCACACACACACACTCTCTCTCTCACACACTCTCTCACACACACACACACTCTCTCACACACACTCACACACACACACTCTCTCTCTCACACACTCTCTCACACACACACACACTCTCTCACACACACTCACACACACACACTCTCTCTCTCACACACTCTCTCACACACACACACACTCTCTCACACACACTCACACACACACACTCTCTCTCTCACACACTCTCTCACACACACACACACTCTCTCACACACACTCACACACACACACTCTCTCTCTCACACACTCTCTCACACACACACACACTCTCTCACACACACTCACACACACACACTCTCTCTCTCACACACTCTCTCACACACACACACACTCTCTCACACACACTCACACACACACACTCTCTCTCTCACACACTCTCTCACACACACACACACTCTCTCACACACACTCACACACACACACTCTCTCTCTCACACACTCTCTCACACACACACACACTCTCTCACACACACTCACACACACACACTCTCTCTCTCACACACTCTCTCACACACACACACACTCTCTCACACACACTCACACACACACACTCTCTCTCTCACACACTCTCTCACACACACACACACTCTCTCACACACACTCACACACACACACTCTCTCTCTCACACACTCTCTCACACACACACACACTCTCTCACACACACTCACACACACACACTCTCTCTCTCACACACTCTCTCACACACACACACACTCTCTCACACACACTCACACACACACACTCTCTCTCTCACACACTCTCTCACACACACACACACTCTCTCACACACACTCACACACACACACTCTCTCTCTCACACACTCTCTCACACACACACACACTCTCTCACACACACTCACACACACACACTCTCTCTCTCACACACTCTCTCACACACACACACACTCTCTCACACACACTCACACACACACACTCTCTCTCTCACACACTCTCTCACACACACACACACTCTCTCACACACACTCACACACACACACTCTCTCTCTCACACACTCTCTCACACACACACACACTCTCTCACACACACTCACACACACACACTCTCTCTCTCACACACTCTCTCACACACACACACACTCTCTCACACACACTCACACACACACACTCTCTCTCTCACACACTCTCTCACACACACACACACTCTCTCACACACACTCACACACACACACTCTCTCTCTCACACACTCTCTCACACACACACACACTCTCTCACACACACTCACACACACACACTCTCTCTCTCACACACTCTCTCACACACACACACACTCTCTCACACACACTCACACACACACACTCTCTCTCTCACACACTCTCTCACACACACACACACTCTCTCACACACACTCACACACACACACTCTCTCTCTCACACACTCTCTCACACACACACACACTCTCTCACACACACTCACACACACACACTCTCTCTCTCACACACTCTCTCACACACACACACACTCTCTCACACACACTCACACACACACACTCTCTCTCTCACACACTCTCTCACACACACACACACTCTCTCACACACACTCACACACACACACTCTCTCTCTCACACACTCTCTCACACACACACACACTCTCTCACACACACTCACACACACACACTCTCTCTCTCACACACTCTCTCACACACACACTCTCTCACACACTCTCACACCTGACATACATAAGGAAGGATTATGTATGCATTAATATACAATATATATATATATCTTTTTTTTGTACAAAAATATTTTGAAACATGAAACACAGATCTGTCACAAACTCCTCTGAGAGATAAAAAAGAAAAGAAAAAGGTAATAGCTGAATCTACAGTTTAAAAGAAGTGACTGCAGATATGAGACCTCACCTTTCTTTTTCTACAGCGAGCGCGAGTTGGTTCAATGCTGGAGTTACATGAAAGTGTCTGTTCAGAGCTAGCAGAAGACTCCTGGTCATCCTCTACTGCTGACAAGGAAACATTAAGCCAGATGCCATAAACACACAAAATATTCACACACTCTTCTGTTCATAATTTATATATATATATATATATATATATATAAACACACACACAGTTAAGAGTCTAACAGATAAAGTAATCAAATCAGTTTAACAGCACAGTTCTGCTCATGAGTTTGCATTCTCCTTGCAGAATCAGAAAATAAATTAATAATAATGATCATAAAAGTTGCATTGTGCTTTTTTAGTTTAGTACTGCCCTGAGGAAGCTATTTGGCTTAATGCACATTCACTTGCACTCCAAAAGACACAATAACAAACTATGTCTAACAAACTAATAACAAACTATGACATTTTCATAATCAAAAGTGGGTCGTCTGAATAACTAGTTGCTCTTAATGAAGTCTTGCATACAGGGTTTCTGCAGGTTTTATAAAAGGTAAGACTTTTTAAGAGTAAAGACAACTACATGTAAGAAATACATTAAACAATGTGCTCTAAATGTACATTTTCAGGGAGCACGCAATGAGTTGTTGCAACGGATGTTGTTGTTTTAAGCATAAATTCACTTAATTTTGATAAAAGTTTAGTAAATATATCTTGATTTAGGGATGTTTAAAAATTAGTATTGGAAAACAAGAAAAATACTGAGGAAGACAACTTTTTTTCAAATTTATTTTTCATATTTTTTTTTAGCAATGCATGCAATATTTAAAGCCCCGACTTTACGAATTATGAAGACTTTCTGTTCTGATTTAAGACTCTTTTAATTAAGACTTTCTAAGACCTGCAGAAACTGGTTCATGTCCACAAAACACTGATCAGATGCATTTCATACATAATGCATTACATAGTTTGTTGCAAATTTAAATAAACATTAACTTATTTTTCCAGGGTTCGTACAGAAACTGCAAAATGAAATTCCAGGACTTTCAAGGACTTTAAGCACTACTTTTTTGGTTTTCAAGGACTAAAATCAGAGATCACAATATCGTTATCTTTTAAATTCTAATAAATAAATAAAATAAAATGGTACAAATAAAGTGCAGCACATACAAAGCATGCCTCAGCTGTGGCAACCTGAAAGGATACTATGGCAAAGTTATTGCTTTCCTTATTCAAAGGGATTTTTTTTATGAATATATGATTGACCTGAAGAGTAAAGCTTCATCATACATTTGGAAAGTTATGAGCTATATCATGCTCGTAGACACTAGTGGTGTGACAGTAAACGTAGCTCATGAGATGAGACAAAATACAGATACTTGGTTCACTAGAACGAGACAATATTTTAATACTATTTTTAATGACATTAGCGTAATGGCTTGCCTTGTCAGGCGCTTTGGCAGATGACGCGTGTGCGTCCTCAGCGCAAAAACTTTCAGTTTACGGTCATATCCTTATGTATAAATGTCTAAAAAGTATAAAGTATCAAAACCAAGTAATCACATGGTTTTATTAAAGATGATTGACAGCGTGATTCAATAATATTTGGTCACGTGCAAACTCAAGAGTGAGGGTTTAAACTTTTATTTTGAAATAGCGATGTTCAACAAATTGCATATCTAGAAATACGTTGATCTGGAAATATTCTCCTGTGTTTGCATAGGTTTATAAATGATTTACATTACAAATCTAGTGAGATAACGAGCACTGTTTTCCCAGATGAACGCTAAGCAACCCAAACTCGCAGCATATTCAGAGGAAGACTTTGTGGACTGAGCTGCTGAGATGAAGATGAAGACTAACGTGCGTTCCTAAATGAAACCCAAACAAACAGTGCAAGAAAGTTGAACTCACCGGAGAGAGCCAGTGGCTGATCACCAGTGGGGCATGCTAGTTTTTCCTCCGTCTGAGAATTTAATGGTACATCCTCTTCCTCTTGAAAAGCAGCGTTCATAACTTCAACATCTTCAGCCTGGGGCTGCCCTGGGTCCTCAGCAGAGAGTGCATCTACAGTTTCAGATACACGATTAGAATACAGACCGAAGAGATGATCTGGAACTGTGTTTGCATAGGTTTATAAATGATTTACATTACAAATCTAGTGAGATAACGAGCACTGTTTTCCCAGTTTCCCAGAAAGCAACCCAAACTCGCAGCATATTCAGAGGAAGACTTTGTGGACTGAGCTGCTGAGATGAAGATGAAGACTAACGTGCGTTCCTAAATGAAACCCAAACAAACAGTGCAAGAAAGTTGAACTCACCGGAGAGAGCCAGTGGCTGATCACCAGTGGGGCATGCTAGTTTTTCCTCCGTCTGAGAATTTAATGGTACATCCTCTTCCTCTTGAAAAGCAGCGTTCATAACTTCAACATCTTCAGCCTGGGGCTGCCCTGGGTCCTCAGCAGAGAGTGCATCTACAGTTTCAGATACACGATTAGAATACAGACCGAAGAGAGAGTTTTTCCTAAACCTTAATGTCTTAAAACATTTCACAACTCACCTTTGCCGTCCTCAGAAGGTTTGTTTGAGGGAGACTCGTCCTCCATACTGGGAAAACTGATCTGAGAAGATGGACAGAAGAAAGCCACAAAAACTCACCACCAATTCAAAACTTTATAGAGCAGTCTGTAATTATGAACTAAAACTATAAGACACCGATATGTGACCCTGGAGCACAAAAGCAGTGTTGAGTCGCTGGGGGATATTTGTAGCAATAGCCAACAATACATTGTATGGGTCACAATTATACATTTCTCTTTTATGCCAAAAATCATTAGGATATTAAGTGACACAATAACAAACTATGTCTAACAAACTAATAACAAACTATGACATTTTCATAATCAAAAGTGGGTCGTCTGAATAACTAGTTGCTCTTAATGAAGTCTTGCATACAGGGTTTCTGCAGGTTTTATAAAAGGTAAGACTTTTTAAGAGTAAAGACAACTACATGTAAGAAATACATTAAACAATGTGCTCTAAATGTACATTTTCAGGGAGCACGCAATGAGTTGTTGCAACGGATGTTGTTGTTTTAAGCATAAATTCACTTAATTTTGATAAAAGTTTAGTAAATATATCTTGATTTAGGGATGTTTAAAAATTAGTATTGGAAAACAAGAAAAATACTGAGGAAGACAACTTTTTTTCAAATTTATTTTTCATATTTTTTTTTAGCAATGCATGCAATATTTAAAGCCCCGACTTTACGAATTATGAAGACTTTCTGTTCTGATTTAAGACTCTTTTAATTAAGACTTTCTAAGACCTGCAGAAACTGGTTCATGTCCACAAAACACTGATCAGATGCATTTCATACATAATGCATTACATAGTTTGTTGCAAATTTAAATAAACATTAACTTATTTTTCCAGGGTTCGTACAGAAACTGCAAAATGAAATTCCAGGACTTTCAAGGACTTTAAGCACTACTTTTTTGGTTTTCAAGGACTAAAATCAGAGATCACAATATCGTTATCTTTTAAATTCTAATAAATAAATAAAATAAAATGGTACAAATAAAGTGCAGCACATACAAAGCATGCCTCAGCTGTGGCAACCTGAAAGGATACTATGGCAAAGTTATTGCTTTCCTTATTCAAAGGGATTTTTTTTATGAATATATGATTGACCTGAAGAGTAAAGCTTCATCATACATTTGGAAAGTTATGAGCTATATCATGCTCGTAGACACTAGTGGTGTGACAGTAAACGTAGCTCATGAGATGAGACAAAATACAGATACTTGGTTCACTAGAACGAGACAATATTTTAATACTATTTTTAATGACATTAGCGTAATGGCTTGCCTTGTCAGGCGCTTTGGCAGATGACGCGTGTGCGTCCTCAGCGCAAAAACTTTCAGTTTACGGTCATATCCTTATGTATAAATGTCTAAAAAAACACGCCAGCATTTCAATTTTTGCATAAAGGTCCGTCCTGAGAGTCTGTGTTAAGTTGAACATATCTGAAAATATGTTGTTGAAAGTTAAATCGAGGTTAAAAGGTCAACATGCATTGCCAGTTTTTTTATGAGAGTAGGAACATTAAGTGGATAACAGCGTGTAATTGTCTGAATATAATATATCAAAAATAATCGTTAGTTGCAGCCCTAAACATTTAACTTATCTAGGGCTGTAACTAATGATTATCTTGGTAATCAAGTAATCGACTGATTATTATGACAATCGAGTAATCTGATTTTTTAGTAATAAAACAGACCTAAGTGAAAAACAGGCTTTATATTGACTACATTTATATATATATATATATGAAACTAACGATAAGACAATAATAATTGGTTCAAATAAAGTATCAAAACCAAGTAATCACATGGTTTTATTAAAGATGATTGACAGCGTGATTCAACGTTTAAATCCATTAAATTTTAATATTTAGTCACGTGCAAACTCAAGAGTGAGGGTTTAAACTTTTATTTTGAAATAGCGATGTTCAACAAATTGCATATCTAGAAATACGTTGATCTGGAAATATTCTCCTGTGTTTGCATAGGTTTATAAATGATTTACATTACAAATCTAGTGAGATAACGAGCACTGTTTTCCCAGATGAACGCTAAGCAACCCAAACTCGCAGCATATTCAGAGGAAGACTTTGTGGACTGAGCTGCTGAGATGAAGATGAAGACTAACGTGCGTTCCTAAATGAAACCCAAACAAACAGTGCAAGAAAGTTGAACTCACCGGAGAGAGCCAGTGGCTGATCACCAGTGGGGCATGCTAGTTTTTCCTCCGTCTGAGAATTTAATGGTACATCCTCTTCCTCTTGAAAAGCAGCGTTCATAACTTCAACATCTTCAGCCTGGGGCTGCCCTGGGTCCTCAGCAGAGAGTGCATCTACAGTTTCAGATACACGATTAGAATACAGACCGAAGAGAGAGTTTTTCCTAAACCTTAATGTCTTAAAACATTTCACAACTCACCTTTGCCGTCCTCAGAAGGTTTGTTTGAGGGAGACTCGTCCTCCATACTGGGAAAACTGATCTGAGAAGATGGACAGAAGAAAGCCACAAAAACTCACCACCAATTCAAAACTTTATAGAGCAGTCTGTAATTATGAACTAAAACTATAAGACACCGATATGTGACCCTGGAGCACAAAAGCAGTGTTGAGTCGCTGGGGGATATTTGTAGCAATAGCCAACAATACATTGTATGGGTCACAATTATACATTTCTCTTTTATGCCAAAAATCATTAGGATATTAAGTTAAGATCATGTTCCATGAAGATATGAAGACCGTAAATATATCAAAACTTAATGTTTGATTAGTAATATGCATTGCTAAGAACTTCATTTAGACAACTTTAAAGATGATTTTCTCAATATTTAGATTTTTTGCACTTTCAGATTTTCAAAGAATTGTGTCTCGGCTAGGGGTGTGCAATATTGGCAAAAAATAATATCTCGATATTTTCTGTGATTTTATCGATAATGCAAATTAGTGAGTGTGTTATTGTGCTGATAACTTAAGGACAACCGTGGACAGCTGACTCCTGAAGTTTCTGATCTTCTTCATATTCTGTGTGGTGGTCATTACACAGCAGTGATAGATTAAATAGATTTTTACCTTTATAAAGCCATTTTTCTAAAAGTGTGCATCATCTTTTGAGTCAAATTTTTACATTTAATCAGTGAATAAGAATAATAAGACATTATTGTTTAGTACAGAACATTAATGCATTTAACCTGCAATTACAAATGCATAAATAACGTTTTGATATCTTAAACAAAACGCTGAATATTATTTAAATAATAAAAAGAAACTTTAAATGTGAAATTAAAACCACCAGTAGGTGGCAGCAAGTCACTGTTAATAAGTGAGTCATTGCGATTAAACCGAATCATTTAAACGGTTGATTCATTCAAGAATGAATCAGTGCTGTGGCTGTGTACAGAATTATTTTAGTTGTCGAAATAGCGCAAAAACAGCCTAAACGTAACAGCCTGTCTAAAACGTAAGTCTCTTAATTAACTTCTTGTTTATTAAACTGTCGTAAAAAAATATATATATATATATTACATTTGTAATCATTCAATGGCACTCTTTGTGTGATATTGATTAACTATATGAAATTATATAAATATATACATTTTCTGTCAGCATATCTTGAATTTTGTAATCATTGTAAATGCATTTTATTACACTGAATCATGCAAAAAATGCACTCTAAATGCGCATGCGCACTAGTCTAGACTTCACGTAATGCATGCACTCTGTAGGGGTTTTGAATGGTTTTTGCTAAAAACTCAATAACGTCAAATCGCATCTCGTTAAAACAACAATTACGATATATATCGCAGACCTCTAGTCTCGGCCAAATATTGTCCTATCCTAACAAACCATACATCAATGGAAAGCTTATTTATTCAACTTTCAGATGATGTATACATCTCAATAAAAAAAATAAATTATCCTTATGACTGGTTTTGTGGTCCAGGGTCACATTAATGCTTCATCTACAATCAAATAAGCTATTTTGGTGAAGCTGGTAAGTGTCACACCTTCTCGATCTCTTCAAATACTTCATCACTATACACCAGTCCAGCATTGTGTCTGTCAATAACCAGGACAGGAGAGGCTCCATTGCTTTGAGGACTACTGAAGTCAGGTTGGGGAAGAGGATCAGACCGTTGAGGGGTCTTCAGCAGAGAGCGTTTAGGGCCCGTAGATGACAGAGGATACTTTGGGGTGCCTCCTTTCTGTAGTGGGGTACTGGGAGGGAGAGATTTGTCAAAGAACTCTGGAGAGAGCGGGGCCCCAAAACGAACACACTTCTTGCGTACAGAAGATACCACGTTCTCATCTATAAGAAGAAAAAAAGATTGGTTTGGGATTTGAAACAAAATCAACTATTAATAAACAAATGATTAAAAGGGTAATTTATGTTTTTAATCAACAAATCTCTTTCTTGATAGTTTAAGCAAGAGTCCCATGTACTATGAAACAACCCTGCAACTTTCAGAACCCAAAATCTGTCCCCATGCAGCAGAAAAAGACAATTCACTAAAACTACAAAGCAAGCACAGCTCACAGAGTTAAAAAAAATTACAATTTCTTATATTACCAGGTCTTCCATTCCCTGTGATTATGAAAAACTAAATTATAAGGTTTCACCATAACTTACGCAGACCTCAATATGATATATATTAGTGTTGTCAAACGATTAATCGCATCCAAAATAAGTTTGTTTACAGAATATACAGGTGCACCTCAAAAAATCTGAATATTGCGGAAAAGTACTTTTAAAAAATTTTTTTTTTACTTATTTCAAAACGTGAAACCTTCGTATATTCTAGATTCATTACATGTAGAGTAAAACATTTAAAAACTTTTTTTTGTTTTAATTTGGATGATTAGAGTTTACAGCTAATGAAAGTCAAAAATCTAGTATCTCAAAATATTAGAATATTTACATTTGAGTTTCATTAAATGACCATCCCTACAGTATAAATTCCGGGTATCTCTTGTTCTTTGAAACCACAATAATGGTGAAGACTGCTGACTTGGCAATGGTCCAGAAGATGATCATTAGGGCCTTTCGCACCGCTTTAGTTCCAGAACTAAATGTACGGTACTAAAGTACTGGGACGATTTTGCGGGAACTATTTTCCAGTACCATTTAAAGGGTTGCATTCGCACCGACAGTGTGTACTAAGAAGTGACGTAAGCCGGTCGACAGCGACGTCATTTGTGCGCGGCGTTCAACAACAGAAACAAAGAAGAACATTAACAACAGGAGGATGGAGGACGCTGTGATCGGAGCTGTGTGTTTGTTGTGTCTCGCGGGTTGCACAATAATGGACATGGAAAGTCCGACGTATACGTAAAACGACAGGAGAAAAAGGCAGTCCGGGACTAAAATCGCTCCCAGTTCCGGCGGTGCGAACACACCAAAAAGTGGGTAGTTCCACAATTAGTTCTGGTACTATGAAAAGGTCATATTGACACCCTGCACAAAGATGGTAAGTCACAGAAGGTCATTACTGAATGAGCGGCTGTTCACAGAGTGCTGTATCAAAGCATATTATATGCAACGTTGACTGGAAGGAAGAAAATGGGTAGGAAAATGTGCACAAGCAACAGGGATGATCGCAAGCTTGAGAACACGGTCAAGCAAAGCCGATTCAAACACTTGGAAGAGCTTCACAAGGAGTGGACTGAAGCTGGAGTCAGTGCATCAAGAGTCACCACGCTCAGACGTCTTCAGGAAAAGGGTTAACAAACCACTTCTGAAACAGAAACAACATCAGAAGCATCTCACCTGGGCTAAGGAGAAAAATAACTGGACTGTTGCTCAGTGGTAGAGGTCGACCGACTGGAAAGTTATCATATTCATAAGTGCAACAAGTCATTTGCATGTCAGAAACACGTGCAGTTCTGGGCCGACTATAATATGCACGTTAACGTTCCGCATGAAATGTGTCTGTGGGTCTGACAATATCCTCCACGATGTCATCGCTCGTGTAATATGAGTGAACTCTTATTTTTGTTATCACTATGGCCATTTGACTTATAGCAGTATCCGGTTTCCCATACATTGAGTTATTTGTGGCAGCCCGTCAATATCAAAACTGACCGCCACAAATAGATTTTCCAAAAGGATTCTACTTCGTTGAATAAACTGAGCACTGCACGTTTCAAAATTAAAATGCAGCGCGGGTGTCTTTATATGAATGTATCTTTGAAAAGAACCGACCGTCTTCAAAAAAGCTTTGATGTCGTTTTCCTTTCGTCTTTCCTGTAATGCCTGATAAAGTAGCGTTTGTGAGCGCAGTGCTTATTTGATTACAACTGTTACCGGGGAAACCACTATATCTCCCGCTCCAGCAGCGCCTCCTGCTGGCAAAGAATAAATTTGCACTTGCAAGTCTGTGGGAAACACTGGTGTCTGTCAGCAAACACAAACAAAAAGCATGCTTCAGAACTGTTTTGAGAAGCTGCTTAAAGGTCCCCTGAAATGCTTAGAAACACGCAGCGTTACTCTGTGTTGACGTCATTTGAACTGAAACAGGAAGACAGGGCGGGACATATCAAGCAGCCCCGCCCCTTTTTAAAATAGCCAATAGCGTTCGTTTATATCACAGCTTGGGCTAGAGCCGTTGAGCTCCGTAAAGCTGCATTTGACAGGGTATGCCAGCCACAATCTCATCCAAAATATAGCATTCTGTGTAGAATTCAAATAGCTCCGATACATTGTGTGGTCTGCGGCGACTCGCGCATGTGATCCGCTCCGTGCTATCGTGTCTCTGGAGAATATTTACATTTGAGTTTCATTAAATGACCATCCCTACAGTATAAATTCCGGGTATCTCTTGTTCTTTGAAACCACAATAATGGTGAAGACTGCTGACTTGGCAATGGTCCAGAAGATGATCATTAGGGCCTTTCGCACCGCTTTAGTTCCAGAACTAAATGTACGGTACTAAAGTACTGGGACGATTTTGCGGGAACTATTTTCCAGTACCATTTAAAGGGTTGCATTCGCACCGACAGTGTGTACTAAGAAGTGACGTAAGCCGGTCGACAGCGACGTCATTTGTGCGCGGCGTTCAACAACAGAAACAAAGAAGAACATTAACAACAGGAGGATGGAGGACGCTGTGATCGGAGCTGTGTGTTTGTTGTGTCTCGCGGGTTGCACAATAATGGACATGGAAAGTCCGACGTATACGTAAAACGACAGGAGAAAAAGGCAGTCCGGGACTAAAATCGCTCCCAGTTCCGGCGGTGCGAACACACCAAAAAGTGGGTAGTTCCACAATTAGTTCTGGTACTATGAAAAGGTCATATTGACACCCTGCACAAAGATGGTAAGTCACAGAAGGTCATTACTGAATGAGCGGCTGTTCACAGAGTGCTGTATCAAAGCATATTATATGCAACGTTGACTGGAAGGAAGAAAATGGGTAGGAAAATGTGCACAAGCAACAGGGATGATCGCAAGCTTGAGAACACGGTCAAGCAAAGCCGATTCAAACACTTGGAAGAGCTTCACAAGGAGTGGACTGAAGCTGGAGTCAGTGCATCAAGAGTCACCACGCTCAGACGTCTTCAGGAAAAGGGTTAACAAACCACTTCTGAAACAGAAACAACATCAGAAGCATCTCACCTGGGCTAAGGAGAAAAATAACTGGACTGTTGCTCAGTGGTAGAGGTCGACCGACTGGAAAGTTATCATATTCATAAGTGCAACAAGTCATTTGCATGTCAGAAACACGTGCAGTTCTGGGCCGACTATAATATGCACGTTAACGTTCCGCATGAAATGTGTCTGTGGGTCTGACAATATCCTCCACGATGTCATCGCTCGTGTAATATGAGTGAACTCTTATTTTTGTTATCACTATGGCCATTTGACTTATAGCAGTATCCGGTTTCCCATACATTGAGTTATTTGTGGCAGCCCGTCAATATCAAAACTGACCGCCACAAATAGATTTTCCAAAAGGATTCTACTTCGTTGAATAAACTGAGCACTGCACGTTTCAAAATTAAAATGCAGCGCGGGTGTCTTTATATGAATGTATCTTTGAAAAGAACCGACCGTCTTCAAAAAAGCTTTGATGTCGTTTTCCTTTCGTCTTTCCTGTAATGCCTGATAAAGTAGCGTTTGTGAGCGCAGTGCTTATTTGATTACAACTGTTACCGGGGAAACCACTATATCTCCCGCTCCAGCAGCGCCTCCTGCTGGCAAAGAATAAATTTGCACTTGCAAGTCTGTGGGAAACACTGGTGTCTGTCAGCAAACACAAACAAAAAGCATGCTTCAGAACTGTTTTGAGAAGCTGCTTAAAGGTCCCCTGAAATGCTTAGAAACACGCAGCGTTACTCTGTGTTGACGTCATTTGAACTGAAACAGGATCTTGTACCCTGCAATAACCATTTACTCAAACTCTCTTTTATGAGATGAAGGAAAAAAATTGGCATCATATATCGGCCGCCCTGATTTCTAAATATCGGCATAAAACCCATATCGGTCGACCTCTACTAAGTGGTCCAAAGTCCTCTTTTATCTGAAAATGATAACATTTTATCTTCTATTTTACTTTAGAAACAATGATGCTACCAGCTCCTTGTTGATAAAGATAATGCAGCTCTTGAGCGATTAAGTTGATAAAATTGCAGGGCAGCGCTAAAAAGTTTGTTCCTGAATGTCTGAGTGCGGCCGCAGCGTGATCTGTGTGTGTGACTGCACTTAACATCAAACTGCTTCTGTTTCACACAAATGCTGGCACAGACGTGCATGTTCGGCTAGAGTCGCTCTGAACTCGTGCATCTTCGGAAGCGGAGCTGCGCGGAAAGTTACAAAAAATGTCGTGCACACCGCCACACGAAACGACGTCGCGCGCACTCAAAGTGAACTTGCGGACGCGTCGAGTATAAGTCAGCCTTGAGCGTTAGATACAGTGAAGACAGCGCATTAGTTTAGAAATCTTCATTTTATTTTTTTTTTATTGTAGAGAGTGTGTTAATTTGTAAAATGATAACCTACTAGCAATGTAAATGATTTTTTAAATATATTAGAATGAGTACATTACAATATAAATTTATTAGAACAAGTACATTATTATTTATGGGCTTAAAAACAAGATGCAAACAATCAGAATATTGTAGCTGGTGGGGAGTGCACAATGTAAACATGAAACATATGGCATTACCTATATTGTACTGTGGTACAGTTATGGAGGCCCTTCATAATGCAGAGCTCAGCTGCTGCTCTGCCTATAGTTAGAAATGGCACTATAGTAAGCAGTGTTTAATAAACAGCTGTTTTTCTAAATTCTGCTGAGGTGAAATTCAGTGCAGTCCTGTATCGTGATACGTATCGTGGCCTCTGTATCGTGACTTTGCTGGTGATACACAGCCCTAATTTATAGGCCGCTGTACACATCACATCCGATTTCTTTCTCAGCTGTTTTCATTCACTTGAGACATAACTGACTGTGTTTACCTGAATGATTGTCGAGATGGGTATTTTGTCAATTTTATGTGTACGTGTCTGTTCAGAGGATTCAGTTCGGTGTTTGCGTGCAGTCTGACATGCGTGTGTGTGCGGCTGTGCGCGTAGAGAAGAGCGCGCGAGTAACGAATCGAGTTCCTTTTCGCCTTTTCTCTCTGGAATTGTTTAAAATTCGCTTGCTTGTGTAAATACGAACAAATGATAAACTTTACTCTATTATGTTACATTTTGCAATTAATCTGCGGATCACATGCGTGCCGAACCGTGGGACTTGGTCCGTACGGATCACGGATCAACTACGATCCGTTTAACCACTAGCCAAAACCACTTCCAAGTGGTTTTCTGACCATGATATTACTGTGCTTGATTGGCCAGCCAGCATGCCTGATCTGAAGCCCATATGGGATCAATGGAACGTTTTCAAGAGAAAGATGAGAAACAGTGGATCCGAGCTGAAGCTCAATAGTTTCTCAGCAGAGCCACAGGCTGATCGCTTCCATTCACTCCTCACTGATGCTGGAGTTTGTGCTAAACGAGCCCCGACCAAGTATTGAGTGCAGTAATAAACATACTTTAAACAACTTGAGCGTTTCTGTTTTGCAAATCTTTCTGACTTTCGTGAGCTGTAAGCTGTATACACACATATACACATACACACATACACACGCACATACACAGTATATATTTATTTTCTTTATCAAATAAATGCAGCTTTGGTGAGCATAAGACACTTTCAAAAACAAAGTCTTCCTACCGCAAAGTTTTGAATGTTGGTTTTTATGAATGATATAGCAATAAAAAAAAAAGTATGATATAGCCTTTTAAAATTTCTAAACATTTTCAAGCACTCAAGAGTTCCCTTACCTGCTGGTTTAATGTCTGGTTTTAATGACAGCATGGGTAAAGACAGAAGCTCATTCTTTGCATCCGAATCCAAGTCTGAAAGAGGCCTCTGGCTTTGAGACTCGATGCATTTCAACTATAACCATATAAAAACAAAAGAACATAACTTATGTGAACCGCAAAGTCTGTTTGAGTTAGCATGTCATCCATTGGTTGCACTTTACCTGTGCCACTTTATCTGTTAATAGCGATGATAAACTTCAGAAACATATCAAACATGACACCGTTAAATGCTGATTTGTTTACCTCTTGCTCCTGTTGTGTTGTGAAGGTTGGGTAGGGGAGTGGCTTCTCAGTAATCTTGTCCTCACACTCTCTCAGTGGGGCCCGGCAGCGTTTCTTTGAGGGAGGCGGCGTCATCGAAGTTGGTGGGCTGTGTGTAATCAGCGTGTTCTCCTTTCCTGCAAGACAGACAGTAGCAGAAAGAGATGACTTACAGAAATGATGGGTCATGCCACATAAGAAAATAATTCATCTGTGCTGATTTTAAAATCGAAGTGAATCAGCAACTGCTAATTGTTCTCAACAGTATCTGACTAAAATGCATAAAAGCCATGCAGAGAAAACTCTGCATAACTAAAAATTGCTTTAATGATTCGAGTCCATCATTGATCCTAGTTAAAGCACAGCATGAAAGACAGAACTCCACACCTAACATATAAATCAAAATAAATACAGTTGCTCATAAACTTAAATAAATGTGTCCCTGCAGCACAAAAGCAGTGTTGAGTCGCTGGGGTATATTTGTAGCAATAGCCAACAATACATTGTATGGGTCAAAATTATACATTTTTCTTTTATGCCAAAATTCATTAGGTTATTAAGTAAAGATTATGTTCCATGAAGATATTTTGTACATTTCCTACCATAAATATATCAAAACTTAATTTTTGATAAGTGATAAGCATTGCTAAGAACTTCATCTGGACAACTTTAAAGGCGATTTTATCAATATTTAGATTTTTTTGCACCCTCAGATTCCAGATTTTCAAATATTGTCCGATCCTAACAAACCATACATCAATGGAAAGCTTATTTATTCAGATGATGATGATGCATAAACCTCAATTTTGAAAAATTGACACTTAAAACTGGTTTTGTGCTCCAGGGTCACAAATATGTTCATATTTCAGAGGGCTTTCAGTGTATAAAAATAAAAGAAATAAAATAAAAGCATCCAGTGTTCAAAGTTGACATTATGAATTTTAAAAATGAGATGCGATGTATTGATATAACTATGCTGTCATCCCTCAAATGTCTCGTTTACACTTAAAAAAAAAGCTTAAATATTCATAATGTCAAAACCTGAAATGATCACAGACTATTCTACGTGAAAGACTGGATATGCTTTTTCAATCTTTTTTTATTAACACTGAAAGCTCTCTGAAATGTGAACATGTTTATTTTAAGACTCATAATCATCAGTTGATTTATTCTGCACATCATCCTGCCGCGCTCTAACTGGGATCAATGGAAGAAATCAAACTGCGTCAAATTAGCTTATTCTGAATAAGTTCTATTATCTGGAAATGGCAAGCAATGACGGTATGACATTCTCTTAATTCCGTCAATTTCATCTGGTCCTACAAGACTGCATCTGAAAGACATTCTGTTTTTGTGTTGGCAGCAGTCAACATTTTGAGGAGAGACTGACCGTTCTTACCATCTTTAGCCAAAGTGCTTTTATCACTCTCATTCTCCTCATTTATCTTCTGTTCATCCTTCTCTTCGACCTCCTCCATCAGACACTGGAAAGCAGCCATCTTCTTCTTCAGAGAGTCACAGCGTGAAAGAAATGGACTCCCCTGCAAAAGCTTCATGAGGACAGAGCACAAAGTCACAACTGCAAAATACAAACAGCCTTCATCATCACCATCATCATCACCATAATGACGACAAACAATGTGGTCCACTCACACACACGCATGTTGTCTTATACCAGAGGTATAACTAGTGGGTTGTAGACAATGGGGGGAAAAAACAATGCTAAATGCAAATAGCTATATGTGATCCTGGAGCACAAAACCAGTCATACGGGGCAATTTTTTTAAATTGAGATTTATACATCATCTGAAAGCTGAATAAATAAGCTTTGTTAGGATAGGACAATATTTGGCCGAGATGCAACTATTTGAAAATCTGGAATCTGAGGGTGCAAAAAAAATCTAAATATTGAGAAAATCATCTTTAAAGTTGTCCAAATGAAGTTCTTAGCAATGCATATTACTAATCAAACATTAAGTTTTGATATATTTACGGTAGGAAATTTACTAAATATCTTCATGGAACATGATCTTTACTTAATATCCTAATGATTTTTGGCATAAAAGAGAAATGTATAATTGTGACCCGTACAATGTATTGTTGGCTATTGCTACAAATATCCCCCAGCGACTCAACACTGCTTTTGTGCTGCAGGGACACATATTATCATGCATTTTGGACAGCAAATTAAATAGGTTCATATCTGTAAGTGTTGACATCAAACTCAAAGTTTGTCACTTGGTAATATGGCTTACTAGAACATAATTTGCTCAGCGTATATTCCATGGGTTAGGCTGGTAAATCACATTTGCATTCACAAAATTAACGTGAAGATAATTTTGTGTATCTGGGTAATATAAAAGAAACAGTTAACCAAAAAAATACCCTCAGGACACCCAAGATGCGGATGCGTTTGTTTCTTCATCAGGTTTGTAGAAATGTAGCACTGCATCAGTGTCTCAGCAATGGATGCTCTGCAGTGAATGGGTGCCGTCAGAATGAGAGTCCAACCAGCTGATAAAAACATCACAATAATCCACAGCACTCCAGTCCATCAGTTAACATCATGTGTGGAAAGTTGCATGTTTGTAAGAAACAAATTAATAATTAAGCCGTTTTTAACTTTGAACTTTTGCTTCGGGGACCACGGTAAAATATCTATCCATAATATTGCTTTCTCCAGTGAAAAAGCTGTCTTGTCTGAATCAGAGGAGAAATAGGCACAGGTCAAGAACAACTAACATGCAAACGCAGTCCAAAACAGTTCTAAACAATAATATGATGATTATGAGTGGAGTGGTCTGGATTACTTGTAGATTATTGTGATGTTTTTTATCAGCTGTTTGGACTCTAATTTACAGGACACCCATTCACTAAATGTCTCCAAATCTGTTCCAGTGATGAAAAAAAAAACTAATTTTCCTCTTGAATGGGCTCAGGTTTTAAATTTTTCATTTTTGGGTGAACTTTTCCTTCCATGTTTAAATGCATTATGTTTAATTTTGTTTGGTAAACACACTGTTGGGTCACCACTTGATGTCCAATGTAAAAAAAAAACCTGGGTGCTAAAGCAAAATCAGCTGTGTTACACCATCCGTCTACCTGTGGTGTTCGTGGAGGAGTTTTTGCAGCTTGTTTGGCTCTGAAGCAGATGAGGGAGTTTGTTTCTGGAGATCCCCGGACCCCAATCGTGGATCTCCTCCTGGCCTTCAGCTGAGCGACTCTGGATTTATCTGAGGAGAAAACCCAGTATTAAAGGGATATTAATCACTCACTTGGGGTCATTAATTACTCACACACATGTCGTTCCAAACCCGTGAGACCTTCGTTCATCTTCGGAACACAAAGGAAGATATTTTTGATGAACTCCGAGAGCTCTCCCATAGACAGCAAGGTAACTACCACCACCAAGGCTCAGAAACGTAGCAAGGACATCGTTACAATAATCCGTGTGACATCAGCGGTTCAACCGTAATTTTACAAAGCTACGAGAACTTTGTGCACACAAAAATAACGACTTTATTCAACAATTCGTCTCCCTATAGTGCCATTTTGGAGACTATCACATACGTAAACAACATATGCATGTACTTAGATATGCGGTTTACGTTCAGATCAAAGCGTAAATGATGTAAACCATGTATCCGCGTACGGTGCAGCTGACACAGAACAGCATACGTTGTTTACGCACGTGATACTCTCCAAAATGGCGCTACAGGGAGACGAATTGTTGAATAAAGTCGTTATTTTTGTGTGCACAAAGTTCTCGTAGCTTTGTACAATTACGGTTGATCCGCTGACCTTGATCGTGTATCCTTGCTGTCTATGGGAGTAGTTCATCAAACATATCTTAATTTGTGTCCCGAAGGTCTTTTCATTTTTGGGTGTACTGTCCCTTTAACAGAGCTTCAATATAATTCAATTGCAATGCAAACATTCAACAATGATCAAAAGTAAAGTCACAATAAGTGCATAAAAAGTGTTCATTTCCACACTCTTAAGAACTCAGAATAACACAATGAATCAGTGATACATGAGGAAGAGCATTATTAAACCCAGTTTATTGTTGTTAACCTTTAATCTTGGAGGACGGCAAGAAGCTGTTTGTTGATATGCCAAATTGTGAAGGAGTGAGTTTTGAGAAATCCACATCTCCAGAGAGATACAGGGCTGCCAATGGTGTTCTGCTGTCCATGGCTTCAGAAACCTCCAGTACATAAGATATGAGATCTGAGAAAATACATGAAAAGAAGATGAGAGAGTGTCATGCTAAAACGCCTGCTAGCATCACAAAACATCAGGCTAGCGATGTGTAACATCTACTTTAAGAAAGATTAACGTCACGTATCTGAATTGTTTTACACAGCGGTGTAACTAAACACAACTACAACTTTGTTTAGATATCGAAAAGTTCCGTTAGATATGTAAAAACAGATATTCTTACCACACGTTAAAACTATCACTAGTTCTAGCGCATCTAGCCGTCCGTCTGACAACAAACCGTTCATACGAATCAGCCAATCAGGGTTAAGCAAATGCATCATGTGCTTCGAACGGCCAATCATATTCAGGCTATTATTCAGACGTTTTAAAAGTTATGTATATCGCAGAAAATAATTTTAGAAACAATTTCTAAATACAACGTGAATGTGCTAGATGTTATAGGCAGTATGTAACTGTAATAGCAAAATTCGCTAAACCTGTACAATAAAATATGTTGAATATTAAGCGGTTAAGCACAGTCTAAAAGTATATACAAATATTAATAAAACATATTTCACCCCAAAATGAAAACGCTGTTATCATTTGCTATTTTCGAGCTGAAATTTCTAAAGTGATGTAGCAGCCATTTTCTCTGCATGCTGTGCCAGTCACAGAGTGCAGGTAACTACTAACACCTAGTTCTCGTAGCTTTGTACAATTACGGTTGATCCGCTGACCTTGATCGTGTATCCTTGCTGTCTATGGGAGTAGTTCATCAAACATATCTTAATTTGTGTCCCGAAGGTCTTTTCATTTTTGGGTGTACTGTCCCTTTAACAGAGCTTCAATACAATTCAATTGCAATGCAAACATTCAACAATGATCAAAAGTAAAGTCACAATAAGTGCATAAAAAGTGTTCATTTCCACACTCTTAAGAACTCAGAATAACACAATGAATCAGTGATACATGAGGAAGAGCATTATTAAACCCAGTTTATTGTTGTTAACCTTTAATCTTGGAGGACGGCAAGAAGCTGTTTGTTGATATGCCAAATTGTGAAGGAGTGAGTTTTGAGAAATCCACATCTCCAGAGAGATACAGGGCTGCCAATGGTGTTCTGCTGTCCATGGCTTCAGAAACCTCCAGTACATAAGATATGAGATCTGAGAAAATACATGAAAAGAAGATGAGAGAGTGTCATGCTAAAACGCCTGCTAGCATCACAAAACATCAGGCTAGCGATGTGTAACATCTACTTTAAGAAAGATTAACGTCACGTATCTGAATTGTTTTACACAGCGGTGTAACTAAACACAACTACAACTTTGTTTAGATATCGAAAAGTTCCGTTAGATATGTAAAAACAGATATTCTTACCACACGTTAAAACTATCACTAGTTCTAGCGCATCTAGCCGTCCGTCTGACAACAAACCGTTCATACGAATCAGCCAATCAGGGTTAAGCAAATGCATCATGTGCTTCGAACGGCCAATCATATTCAGGCTATTTTTCAGACGTTTTAAAAGTTATGTATATCGCAGAAAATAATTTTAGAAACAATTTCTAAATACAACGTGAATGTGCTAGATGTTATAGGCAGTATGTAACTGTAATAGCAAAATTCGCTAAACCTGTACAATAAAATATGTTGAATATTAAGCGGTTAAGCACAGTCTAAAAGTATATACAAATATTAATAAAACATATTTCACCCCAAAATGAAAACGCTGTTATCATTTGCTATTTTCGAGCTGAAATTTCTAAAGTGATGTAGCAGCCATTTTCTCTGCATGCTGTGCCAGTCACAGAGTGCAGGTAACTACTAACACCTTTTCAGCAGAACATGTTCAACTCTTTTACAGTCTACTGTACATGTGCAGGCATATTTGTGCTTATTTGTGCATCATGATGAAGCCCAAAAAGCATGTTTTTCCATTGATGGACATTGAAAAGTAGCCTACCCTTACGAAAAAGAAGTTTATTCAAGTGTGCTATTAGTATACTAAAAATAGGAAAGTATACTTTTAGTCTACTTTGTATGTACTTCTCAGAAATGGGTTTTATGTACTTCTCAGAAATGGGTTTTATGTACTTCTCAGAAATGGGTTTTATGTACTTCTCAGAAATATACTTAAAATGACATTTCAGTATACTTGACTTATACTAAGTCTAAATATATTTGAGCTATGCTTGTGCTCCTAGAATGCGTGTTTTCATTGTTATACTGTAGGACGCTAGTACACATCTTCTGTACAGAATTTCCAAAAAACACAAGTGAAGAAGAAACCGAAACAACAGATGCTTCCACATGTAATCTAACACGATCTTCAGACATAAAACAGCATCAAAACTGTGCAACATTATGGAATAAAATGTCGACCAATGAAGAGGTAATAATGACTGTCAAGCTTCATTCTGAATCCAATTCATAGTCTTTTTCCTTTCAGCTTTTTGTTCAAAATGTTGTTTATTTCTTTATTTTTTATTTATGAAACTTACCCACATTCGAGTGTTTAAAAAAGAATGCATGAAGCAGATACCCTGTTCTTTCTTTTGGTGTTTTGTATGTTCAGATATTCAT